CTCCTCCCCCTCCTCCTCCACACACTCTCCGCCCCTCACAGTCCGGCCCGTCTCGGACGGATGTGTACTCGGTCCCTCTAATGCAGCAGTGCGACTTCACGCCGAGCCAAGTCAAACATTCGAAACATACGTCCGCGAAAGCTAGCCTGGACCCGGGCCGGGCGGAGTTAGATTGCGCATAGGAAAAGGACTGATAACAAAAATACGTCTTTGTCGGAAGACGAGTCGCTCCAATAAGGAGTAAAACCACAGCCAGCACAATCGTTAAACCTTTGATCAAAGCCAACGGAGCCTTTTTCACCCAAATAGTTTCTTGAATGCCCCCCGATACATTCTGCCTTAAAGACAAAGAGTTTTGTCGCCCCTGTCGCCCCCTCGAGCTGAGGTGGGGTGGTGACGCACGCACGCCACCGCGGCTGACATCCGGGTGACGTGAGGACGGTCAGGAAGGGACTGGTTTGGAAGCCGCGCCGGCCGCGCGCCGCCGACACACTCCGGCGGACAACGAGGTCAATACGGGTGCGCAGACGCGACGCACGGGGCCCGGCCCAGCCCGTGGCCGGGGCAGCAGCATACAGCAGCGGACAGCAGCGGACAGCAGCGGGCAGCAGCAGACAGCAGCGGACAGAAGCGGGTAGCAGCGGGCAGTAGCGGGCAGCAGCGGGCAGCAGCGCACATTGATGGAGATGAGAAAGTCCAGCGCTGGCGGGAGGCAGCGGCCGACAAAGCGCTTCAAGATGACAGCAGGGAATCCAGTTAACAGCCCCTAGGAAACTCATCTCACCTAATTCATCATTGTTTCAATACACACAGAAAACGGAATAGCCCCCGGATACCGATATGAAACAGACCCTGCGAACGCAAACATTTTTGGTGATATGCTTAATCAGCTTGAAGAACACAACTGGTATCGGTCGCACTCCATCAGTCGTTACAGGCCAAACGAAAGAGAAAACACGACGGGGATAACCATGATTTGGTTGGCGTGAAGCAGCAGGGCTGGCCGTAGCTGCTGCCCACCGATGACGTCGCCCAGCCGGGGCTGCAGGGTTCAGGGAAATGCTGGTTGTATCACTGGGCGGCGGGGCTGCTCGGCGCACCCGTCTTTAAGTGGGGATATTACCTTCTGTCCAGCCCGCTTTCTCGCCCCTCTGCGTCATGCGATGCCCTGGCCGGGACGCCAGCCGGCCTGCCGCATCAACGGTGCGCCCGCGTACGGGCGGGCGGGCGATGGGCGGGCGGGCAGTGTTCCAAACTCAACCAATGGTTTTGGAGTTGAAAACTGCACTACGGTTCATTTAATTATCCTGCGTATTCAGTCAAAGCCGAACACACAGGGTGGTCCCAGCAAAGGCGTACACCATAGCCCACCTTCACGGGGCACGGGTGTCATTCGCACGGGGCATAAGGCGTCTGTAGCCACGGCGCCTTATGGCCCCGGGGCACCCCGTACAGTAATCCATAATCTACGAGCTCCTCTGTTTTTCGTAGGAGCAGAAAGGAGCCCGCCCGTTTCAGCGAATAGGTTTTATACTCCCGCATACGGCTTGCCTATCGTCGCTGACCTGGGCGCCCCTTGGCTCCTGGCGCGTAGGCAACCCGCACGCTCGCGTGCATGCGGGCTGGTGTTCGGGGGGTCTGCTGGCCGGCCAACCTGCAGCGCGGCGATCTCAGTGCGAGAGGCGCCGTGCCGCCGCGGTGGGCATGGGCGCGACAACGCGGCGTGCAGCACGTCCCGGACCTGTCCCGCCGCGGCCCTAGCCGCCGCCGTGCCGCTCGGAGCGTGACGCCGCGCCAGGTTCACGCCAGTTCACGCGAGCTAACGCACACGACCTTCGCCCCCTCTCCCCTCCCCTGGTCCCGCCCCTGCTGGTCCCACACCTGCTGCCGCTCCACTTCCCAGACTCGGCCATTGTCTTTACGGACAATGTTAATTTCGCCAGCTTTGCCTGACTTCGGTGCGAAACAGGCGTGAAAAAAACGCGCCGCTCAAAGTCAGGCCATGAGGCACAGTCTTGGGGATGTGAAGGCTCGGCAACCTTATACTTCAGCTGTTCTGCCCTACATTGGACCTGGATTCTGCGGGCTTCAATCACTTGTTAATGCCATTACCGATTTCGCATTGTTCTATCTATTTGATAAATCTTATCATTCATATTTGGAAATGTACCGGTGTGAAGGCTAATACTCCCCAGTGTTACGGGTTTGCATACCAAATGGTCGACGGCACCTTATGGACAGATCAGGTAGGCAACACTGTGGTGTATTGCCTGTGCACTGTGCAGACGGTACATCGTTATTGCAACCCAGTCCATTCACAATTCAATTTCGTCAACAGTTCGTCGGCGGACAGAGTTGAAGTTTGTTTCAGAAAGACGCGTCATGGGTGTAATTAAGAGGGTAGTGGCTGGCTAATAACTAACTAACTACAATTTTAAACGTTAATGGAACTGTTGTAAC